GATATATTATTTTTTATAAATAACAAGGCATACCGTCTTTTCAATTTATTGATTTTAAATTTGATTAATATATAATAGAAATAAAAATTATTATTAACATAGACTAAGAATTATTATTATCTATTAATTTAAAAACAAAAAAAAGTAAAAAAGAGAGAGGGGGACATAAGAGAGGAAAAAAGAGATGAAATAATGTATCTTTTCAAACTTTTAGATCATTTAATGTTATTTACTAGGTCTTTTTTGAATTTTTTTAATAGGTAGGGAGTGCATATAACAAATCCCTTTTAATATTTGACATGAATACGTAAATAGACCCTTTTATTTTTTATGTTACATCAATGCTGATCTTTTCTATTAAACCCGAAAAAACATACAAATACATCATAAATTTTGTGTAAGTATATTATTTTGGAATTAATTGTGTTTTGTTGTTTTAAAAATATACTATAATCTTTTTGAGGGTGGACTTGGCATGGCACCAATTTTTTCCTTCTAAAAAGTCTACCAATCAGTTAAAATTAGTATACAAAATTTTATAGCATGTACCAACCAACTATATTTGATATCAACTTAATTGGTACCAACTTTTTTCGATTGGTATATGTTGGTACTGGTTGTATATTAATTTCAAATTACTTATATGAAATTTGCTATTATGTTTAAATTTTGAGTAACGTTTTGAGTTTTCATGTAATACATGTGATGTTTAAAAGTTTTTTATTGCAAAAAAAGTAAAACTTGTAAGCATTCAAATGTTTAAACAAAATAGTTAAAATTACAAAGTTTAGTCTTCAGCACATAAAAAATTCAAAAACTAACAAATAATTAAATAAGTCGGTACAATGATACTACCATGGTACCGACTTTTAATACCGTATATCAACCAAGTTTGCATACTTGATACAGTACTGTCAACCGATTATAATTGATACCAATTAACTTATACTAACTTAATTGGTAACGTTGATGTTTATATTGGTTGGTTAAATTTGGTACTCACTCCTAATCTTCCTGACTAGAAGAGAATGAATGGACAAAATCTCGAATTGCACCATTATCCTTATTTTGTTTTTCGTCGATGATGGTAAGTGAAAATTTTCACTTTTTTTTTTGTTTTGATATTGAAACCGGTCATGTGTGATGTACGTGATTATTGTAAAAGTCTTATGTCTTCTACCTTGCAATATCATTGCCACCATCTCTATCAACATCCAGCGGCAGATCCAAGATTTTTTTTTATAGTGGGGGGCACTTTTAAGGTAGATTAAAGGCCCGTAAAGTTCATCATTTCAAGGGATTTTTAAAGTTTTATTGGTTGATCTCAAGGAACTTTTAGTTTTTAACTTGATTTCGAGGTGTTTTTTTGGTTGATGAAGTTTGAGAGGAAAAATTAACAGGAAAAAACATATGGTAGAAAATTAAAAAAATTGTTTTAATCTAAGAATATTCCCTTTTTCTAATTTTTTTAATGGGGCCCATTCCCCCTGATTGAATGGTAAATCCGTCCCTATCAACACCTTACTGCATTATCTAGATAACAATGCTTTTGGATTCTGATTAATGGGGGTGTAACATCACATGCGTCACGTATAGCTAAAAGTGAGGTGTTTTCTTCTCACCGATCTCTGAATTATTAAGAAGTAAATTTTATTTGGTAAAAAAAATCTGCTTCTTAATGGTTTTAAAATCTTCTGAATGATTTTGTATCATAAATCTTCCTTAACGATTAAGAGTCATAATCTCATTGTACACAATTATCAAACGATTATATTTCATTTTGCATTATACCATGAGAGCCTCTTAATCATTTTGTACCAAATCATTTAGTATTTGTCAAATAGCCCCTCAGTAGGCTTTTTATGAACTTTTGTTGCAAAGCACATATAACCACCATGATGTATTTATTGTTGGATAAATATTTGAGCTTAAGATGCTATAAATAGTCCAATCCTTTTGCGACGATGGATCTATAAAAAGAATGGAGTGTTTGTAACACTTTAGATGAATCTTATCATGTTTTTTACTTCAAGAAATATCCAAAAATCACCAAAAGCTTGATTCTTTGCTAGATTTTTTTAGAAGCTCCTCTGATTGTTTGGGAGCTTACAGATAGAGTCACAATTACAGTATGTAGCATGTAATTGTCCAGCAAAGTTGTTTCCTTTTTCTAATTCAAGAAGTTTTTCAACTATTTTCAATTTACGACACTTAAGCCCCTCACTTTAAAATCTATTTTAATTATACCCCTACAACACGTAATGTTGTAATCTGAGTGTTTTGAGTACATGTTATGTTTTTTTTTATGTAAGATAATCATTTTTAGTGTAATATTACCCGATAACATTTGTTTTTCCCTCCACCATATACTTTACTTGAACATGTACTGAAATCCATGGATTGCGATTTGAGAAACCAACACCAGAAATAATAACACGAAACTGGAAAATTAAAGATGAAAAATACATTGATGAAAGCAAGATTACAAAATTTAATTCCACAGCACCAGAGAGCTAGTTTTGGAAGGCAAAAAAACGAATATATTTTTAATCATCGTATTTAATTATAATTTCGTTGCAATCTAACTCATAATTATACTCCCAAAATGAGTGATTGTAACCTATTCTAATCCCAAAATAAGCAGTGGGAGTTTCCTAAAACCACTCGTCTGAACATATTTTAATGTTTATTGTGTTATATATATATATTAAACACGATGATTAAGAAATTAATTCGTTCCAAGAAAAAGGATTGTATTTAATTAAGAAGCATATAATATACAGATGGAGAAAAAGGGACTCTGCATGGCTACTGCTACTGCTGCCGCTGCTGCTTATATTTACATCCAAACTCATTCTGGAATTAGTTCTTGGCTCACAGGAAGAAATCCCACTCTTTTCTGCAATCATCCACACAATTTATGAATTATTAAACTCCACATAAATATTATTTATTTTAAGACGCAAATTTTGGTTCTGTTGATTAAAGAGCATCTGAATCATATTTACTGCATATGACTCTTATGTGTTTTTATTGGAAATTGTTTTCAGCAATTAATAAATAAGAAACTTTGACCCTCCCCTCCATTAGCTAGCTACGTATTTATTGCGAATTTCATGATTGCCGTAGAAAAGTCGATATTTCATTTATGACATTTAAAACCGAAGTTAATTTATTTAACGGTTTAAAGTCGATGAAATTAATTATCAAAGAAAAAGGAGATAGAGAGAAATAACGGTAACTTTGGTTTACAGAAAACACAGATGATAGGACCAAAAATAAAAGGTCAAAACAAAGAAGATGGCACGAAAGGTGGGTCAAAGGGTGTTGGAGGGAGACCAAATTAAATGTTTAAGAATTCACATGCAATTTGAATTAGTTCCAACGTAACGTAACTATTGACTTTATATTTTATGTATTAAATAAAGCTAATAATTTATAAAGTATAACATCTGAATGGAATATTTCTGAGAAGCCAAACTCAAAATGGAAAGAAGCATGGGTCATTTCATTTCATTTCATTTCATGTTTATCAAGAATCAAGATCAAGATTTATTAATTATTAAATAGCGAATAAATAAAATTGAATTTCGTATATATTAATAAAATAAATTTCAAAATGTCAAAAAGATAAAAGATAAACATACCCCATGGCCCTTGGAACCATCGTCTTTCCACTGCACCCGTCGTTTCTCCGTCGGTGCACCACCGCCGCCGCCGCCGCCACTTCTCTCCATGCAAAGTTTCATGATCTTCTCCGCTGCCTCCGTTTCATCTTTACTCTCCCTCATCAACCTCTCCACCTCCGCCTTCGGTAACCTCAACTTCACCCTCAACGGATCAACACCACCACCGCCACCGCCATTCTCCACCATAATGCTCGGTGCTTTCATATACGACAAATCTGACGCCGACCTCCGAGCCAACTTTAGGCTTTCGAGCCGCTCCTTGGCGCTCATATTTATCCCCGACCGGACCCTCCTCGCGCCTTTATCTTCAGGGAACTTGGGCAGCTCCACCAAGAAGTAAAGCCGCTTAGCCTTGAGGTCTTGTTGAGGTTCCAATGGCTTAGCCCGCACTCCATAATGCTTCACCGTCTCCGAATCCAGCAACACCAGACCTGGGTAATCCTTGACCACATCGCCGGCGTTCACCGGAGTCTTCAACTTAATGGTTTCGCCGTTCATTTTCATGATTTTTACGGTCTTCTTTTTGCCTCCTAAACTATTTCCCATTTTTTGAAGTTTACTGATTCTTTCAAATGCCTAAATTCGGGGAAATGAAAAAGCTTTGGGGGTGATGGGATCTCTTTTCTCTAAACCCGCAAAAGGAACACAGATGGGAATGGTGGGTGTTGGAGGAAATGGACCAATATATACTTGTCTGTTTCTTTGTCAGGGTCAAATAAAGAGTGCATAATTTTTAATTGCCATATATAATATAATATGTATATACCAAATGATTTAAACAATAAAAACTTACATCGTTAGAAAATCATTTATAGTCAATTAGATGTGATACTATGTTTCATCATATATGATATTTATTGCAGGTTAAATTATCCGTACATCACTAGGCCTTTCACTTGTATCTATCACATGTGATACTAAATTAAAGATGCAGACGACTTTCGGTGCAACCTAGATCACAGGATACGTCATCTGCACACCACCAGATCTTTTCATGTGTATTATCATATATGATAGATGTTGTCGACGCATCCACCTGTGTGTGTGTATATATGTGCTTTTTAATTTCAATTATTTAATAGAAATTAAAATATATAACATAATTAGTCTATTTTTTTATTTAATATTTTGTCTGTCTTATATCTTATTCTTAATTATGATGTGTAAAGAAACAAATTAATGTGATGCAAATGACAAAATAAAAAATAAAAACAAAATATCTTTTGTAACTGAGATTGGATTTATGTAATTATTATAGATCACATTGTTTTTATAAATTTTAAAATACGTAAAATTAATCCATGTGAATATTTTAAATGACTTTTGAACATAAAAAAATCTTTCTTATGATCAAGGGTGGTGCCTGATTGGTTTGAGTTTGGCTCCAAAGGTCAAAGGTATCAGGAGATCTCAGGTTCAAATACAAGGAGGAATAAAAATCCCCTTGTGACCACGAAGTTTCAAATACGGTGACTCCGGACTATTTGCAAAGCAGATGATCGTCCTAAGATTAGTCGGCTCGCATAACGGGTTAAATATTTATGTTAATAAAAAAAAATATTTCTTATAAAAAAAGTAAATGAAATTTATTTCTGATCTAATGTAACACGTTGTTTAAGTAGTCGTGTCACTCGTAAATAGCTCAACTGTTGAAAACTTATCGGTACCTATTAAAAGTATGTGTGTGATACACCCACCCCCATGCATGGTGATGGTGGCAATGTGAACCAAGAAAGATTCAGTACTTTGATGTAAGAAAAAACCAGAAAGTTGCATCTTTCGGTGTAAATTAGTTATAGGGGCATGATTATGGGTGAAATTTCAACTTACAATCATCAATCCCACTTCAAATAAAATGTATATTTTAATTAAAAACACACACATATTTTCAAATGAGAATGTCTTTATTTTACGAGAACGTAGAGAATATTTTTTAAATATAAACAATCATGTGCGATACTATTATTTCATCACATATAATACACATGTGATACTAAATTATAGACGTGGATGACTTTTGATGCGATCAGGTTGCAGGCCAAGTTGCCCTTACACCACTAAGCTCCCTCACATGTACTATCTTATGTGATAAATATGTTATTAATATGTACTATAATCCATGAAGACCATCACGTGTGATACTAAATCATAGACACAGACGATTTTTGGCACGACCTAATACGTAGGACACAAGATCCGCACATCACCAGGTTTCCTCACGTGTATTATCACATGTGATAAGAGTATTCTTGCATTTCCATAAAATAGAAGTGTTCTTGTTTGAATTTCCAAATATATATATATATATATATATATATATATATATAGGGGTCCATTCAACGGAGAACTGATTAGTTTGTGATAACTGTGAGATCCAATATCAACCACAAATCAACGTATAAATTAAGAAATTAATAATTATGGTAGCTTGAGTTAAAATTATAATTAGAGGACATTTTAGGTATTTCTAAAAAACTCTTCTCTCATCTCTCCTCTCTCCTCTCTCATCTCTCCGACCTCCAATCTCCGGCTTCCGGTGAACATTAATCCGGCAGGTACCAAGTAATCACAAAGATACACAATGTGATACCCATTGTGATATACTGTGATACCAACTATGATACCAACTCAAACCTTAAAAACAAAGATACACAATGTGATACCCATTGTGATATACTGTGATACCAACTATGATACCAACTCAAACCTTAAAAACAAAGATACACAATGTGATATACTGTGATACCGATTTCACCGGAGGCCGGAGATTGGAGGTCGGAGAGATGAGAGATGACAGAGGAGAGAGGAGTTTTTTAAAAATATCTAACATGCCCTCTAATTATAATTTTAACTCAAACTATCATAATTATTAATTTCCTAATTTATCCGTTGATTTGTTGTTGAGATTGGACCTCACGGTTACCACAAACTATTCAGTTCTCATTTGATTAGGCCCATATATATATATATATATATATATATGTGTGTGTGTGTGTGTGTATATATATATATATGTATATATATATATGTGTGTGTGTATATATCGTGAGGTCACAAATCAATAGATAAGTTAGGAAATTTATAATTTTGGTAATTTTTGATTAAAATTTTAATGTAAGGACATTTTAGGTATTTTTCTCCTCTCTTCTATCTCCTCTCTCCTCTCTTCTATCTCCGTTCCCCAGCCTCCATCCTCTGGCCTTCGGCCACCGTTCTCCGGTGATACCATAGTGGTATCACAATGTATCTTATATGTGTTTGGGTATTACACTGAGGTCGTTTGTGTGGTCGATCGGATATGTAACACAGTGGTATCACAATGCATCTTATATGTGCTTGAGTATCACACTGGTATCACCGGAGGACAGTGGCCGGAGGTCGGAAGATGGGGACGGAGAGAGAAGATAGAGGAGAGAGAAGAGAAAATACATAAAATGTCCTTGCATTCAAATTTTAATTAAAAATTATCAAAATTATAAATTTTCTAATTTATCTATTGATTTGTGGTTAAGATTGGATCTCACAGTTACCACAAACTAGTCAATTATCCCTTGAATAAGCCCCTATATATATATATATATATATATAGAGAGAGAGAGAGAGAGAGAGAGGGAAGATCAAATGTTAACCATCATTTTTGTGTTAACTTTGAAAACCCTCTCAACTCAAATTCCATTATTCTTATAGGTTTATGTCTTGTTCATTTTACCCCTACAAGGGTATTCTAGTAAATTGAATTCATTTGTAACCCCCAAACAATTAATGGGKWGTTACAAACAATCAAATYCCAAAAAATATGCATTCATATTATTAATTTTTTTTACTATTGATCTTCCATGTTCATTCTTGTATGAATTCCTAAATCGCATAAGAAACATGGTATAGTAACGATTTTCGGTATTGATCAATTTGAACACAAATGAATCGTGAACATAATTTGAACACAAATGAACAACCGTGAACACAATTTGAACACAAATGAACCGTGAACACAATTTGAACAAATTAACAGATGAACACAAATTAACATATGCTACCTTAATTTTGTGGGACGTCTATGTATGTGAATATATGGGCCAAAAATTGCACATATCGTGTTCATTTGTGTTCATATCGTGTGCATTTGTGTTCATATCGTGTTCACGGTTCATTTGTGTTCAAATTGTGTTCACGGTTGTTCATTTGTGTTCAAATTGTGTTCACGGTTGTTCATTTTTGTTCAAATTAAGTTCACGGTTCATTTATGTTCAAGTTGATCAATACCCAAAATTGTTACTACCGTGTTTCTTATGCGATTTAGGAATTATACAAGAATGAACATGGAAGATCAATAGTAAAAAAAAATATGAATGCACATATTTTTTGGGATTTGATTGTTTGTAACTCCYCATTAATTGTTTGGGGGTTACAAATGAATTCAATTTACTATAATACCCTTGATAAATGTATTTTTTCTTTCCAAAATACCTCTTTCATCATTGTTCAATAGGTCTCATTAAAATTCAAACTTTAAAATTTAATTTTTTTTATTGATTATAATCTTAACCGTTGATTGTAGATTTGGATGGCCAAAATCAGTTAATAAGGTTAACACAAAAATGATGGTTAGCATTTGATCTTGGCTATATATATATATATATATATATATATATTGATTCTTGTCTAGTGTAATATATTAATTAAAAGGTAAAATGTGTAAAAAATGTTATTTATTTCATCAGCCAAATCCACGTTGTTTGACATGTAATTAGTATATGTAATTTGGTCTCAAATTAAAAATAATGTTACTTAATTTGTTATATATATGTATATATATATATATATTGATTGTCGTTATATCAATATTAAATCATTCAAATTCCATTTCATTTTTAAACATTTTGTTTTTTAATTAATTCATTTTTTAATTCGAAAATATAGAGTATTTGGTTGCATTTTTTGTCCATATACATCAAAGTAGTACTTGATCTATTAAAATCTAAAAAAATAAATAAATATGGTAAAAATATAATTGAAGAAAGTCCTCTTTATTATAATTCCAAACTTAATCAAATGACCCCGATAATAACGTTCGTTTTCAGATCAATATATTTGACTAACGTTATTTGTCTCTCTTTCTTGATCGACAACTTCCTAACATATGTGTCGCTTACTAATTGATGCGTTTGACCGATCAAATCGAGTTCAAATACTAATAGTATGAAGCCTAGACTTGTTTTTTCATATATTAATTTCCTTACATACTCACAACCGGTAAAAGGTTTAAGATCTTGATTTGATAGATTTTTTGTTGGAATTTGAAAGATCAAATCACAATAAGATAAGACGTATTTTGTTTCGCCTTCTATTTTGAAAAACGTATTTTCAAAATTTGCATTTTTGTATAACACGTACAATATATGTTTGATATAATTTAAGAAATGTATTATTCCTTGATGCAAATTAAAAAAACATATTATACTTTTGTGAAAAATTGGAATATTTCTATAGGATGTTTTAATTATAGATGTCAAAATATTGTTTTTAAAAGTAGTTTATTTAAATATGAACCATGATAAAATATATAGAATAAATTACACTTTTGGTCATTGTGGTTGTTAGTGACTCTCAA